CGTACTATTCACGGCTTAAACATTTTTTCGAGTCATATTTTTTACCATGTAGATATTTTTTATACTAATGAATCATAATTAGTCCGTTTGTCACAAAAGACCACACCTAGGCAAAGATGGGTGGATAAGGACTGGAAGGTCCTGAGTTTGAATTTCGTTTGCAACTGAACTTTAGAGATGGGAAAAAATAGGTAGCAACAGTTCCTCCAAGGCAAGCGTTGTTTACATCAAATTTATACCGGTATATGATGACGTCTCTAAATGGGTGAAAAATTCTAAAAAGGACGAACAAGCAAATCCAAATTATGGTCCCCCGCTTTCTGTGTCTTCGTGGGTGAGATTTCTTTATGGTATATTGTGTCAAATATGAACGCCTTTTCTTATATCATTAGGAAGTTATCACCGAAGTTGATTTTTTTTAATCGATCGTGAAGGTCAAGGGGTCAGAGATCACAGCATGCTCGGAAATATCTTGTCACATAGAAAGGTCTTGTCACAAGTAACATACATTTGTAATATGAAAGCCTTGTCACGATATGACCAAGCCTAAAGTTTTTGTAACGGACTGACAGACGATATTTTATATATGTCCGCTCGCTTCGCGAAAGCGGGGAGACAAAAACAACAAATCGTCTGTAAATATTGGGACATATTTGAACTATCTTATTTAAACATAACCGTTTATATGGAACTCGCTGAGCAGAGAAATTTCGAGCTCGATTTGAAGGAAACATTTTCAAATTTCCTCGAAGCTAGACTTGAGGGAATTCATTTCAAGAGCACTGGTCAGTGACTTTATTAACGATTAAGCAGATGAATTATTTAATTTTGTTTTTTTATAAAAACCATTTTTTAACTCTACTGGTCAGAGACCAGAAGAGCTTATGCGATAGTAATGCGTCCGTTGTCCGTCCGTCTGTCTGTAATTAATTTTTGTCCCCCGCTTGAAAAGTGGGGGATATTAATTTGGGTTTGTCCGTCCGTCCGTCCGTCCGTCTGTCCGTCCGTCCGTCCGTCTTTCTGTCTGTCTGTAACGCTTTCGTTTCCACACGATATCTCGAGAACCCTTTGAGCTTTTGCAATGAAGTTTAGCATAGCAACTCCCTATGGACTAAAGAAGACCCCTATTGATTTTGAGGTCAAAAGGTCAAAGGTCAAGGTCATAAATAAGCAAATTCTGTCTGTTAAAACACTTTCGTTTCCACACGATATCTCTAGAACTATTTGAGCTATTGCAATGAAATTTTACATAACAACTCCCTGTGGCCTAAAGAAGACCCCTATTGATTTTGAGGTCAAAAGGTCAAAGTTCAAGGTCGTAAATTTATACATTCTGTCTGTGTGTAACACTATCATTTCCGGGCGATATTTCAAGAAGATTTTGAGCTGATGCAATGTAATTTTATACCAAAACTCCCTAGGACGTCTCTCGCCCCTCTCAAAGTGCCCCGCCCGTTTGTTTTATTAGTATTTATAGTATTACATGTCGCTATTTTTAGCGCAGGGGCATGAGGAGAGTTATTGCGTATAAAACAGGTTCTCGATGGACTTTATGTTCTTATTACATCTATTAGAACTGTTTAATAAAAGCTAAATAAATCAAACACCATGGATTGTGTAAAATTTTGAGAATACCGAACATGAAAACATGAATATATATACATGTATGTGACTTCAGTTCTGCATATACTTCACACCATGTAAAGCGACTCCGTGGTCTAATGGTTATGTCTCCGGCTTCAAATGTGAGAGGTCCAGGTATCGAATCTCGGTCGGACCGTTCTTTTTTTTTTTTTTTTTAAATACTTTTTTTTTTTACTAAATGACAGTATTCAGCATGTGAAATGAAAAATTTATGAGGTTATAAAATCATCATTACAGGGTGATAAATATTCCATATGAAAAAATCTTCTATACACATAATAAAGAATAAGCAATCAAATCTTTATATGCATATTGACATACATGTATTTTATTTCCTTCAGTATACATGTATACATTTAATAATCCTACAAATTCAGTCAGGGGGAGCCGACTTTTTCCCTAAGCGGGGGACACGAATTCTCTGAATTAGCTTGTATATACTGGTATTACCTGTACTCATTATGTTGTAATTAAGTATAAGTAAAATAGATTCTAGATCGATACGTCTCATTTTGACCAGTTTACAAGCATCATGATGTAATTTACAATGAATGTTTTTCTTTTGATGCTGTATTTTTGTCCCCCGCTTGAAAAGTGGGGGATATTAATTTGGGTTTGTCCGTCCGTCCGTCCGTCCGTCCGTCCGTCTTTCTGTCTGTCTGTAACGCTTTCGTTTCCACACGATATCTCGAGAACCCTTTGAGCTTTTGCAATGAAATTTAGCATAGCAACTCCCTATGGACTAAGGAAGACCCCTATTGATTTTGAGGTCAAAAGGTCAAAGGTCAAGGTCATAAATAAGCAAATTCTGTCTGTTAAAACACTTTCGTTTCCACACGATATCTCGAGAACCATTTGAGCTATTGCAATGAAATTTTATATAGCAACTCCCTGTGGCCTGATGAAGACCCCTATTGATTTTGAGGTCAAAAGGTCAAAGTTCAAGGTCGTAAATTATACATTCTGTATGTATGTAATACTATCATTTCCGGGCGATATTTCAAGAAGATTTTGAGCTTATGCAATGTAATTTTATACCAAAACTCCCTAGGACGTCTCTCGCCCCTCTCAAAGTGCCCCGCCCCGTTTGTTTTATTAGTATTTATAGTATTACGTGTCGCTATTTTTAGCGCAGGGGCATGAGGAGAGTTATTGCGTATAAAACAGGTTCTCGGCGGACTTTATGTTCTTATTACATCTATTAGAACTGTTTAATAAAGGCTAAATAAATCAAACACCATGGATTGTGTAAAATTTTGAGAATACCGAACATGAAAACATGAATATATACATGTATGTGACTTCAATTCTGCATATACTTCACAGCTCGTAAAGCGATTCCGTGGTCTAGTGGTTATGTCTCTCGCTTCAAAGGTGAGGGGTCCCGGGATCGAATCTCAGTCGGTCCTTTTTTTTTTTTTTTTTCTTTTTTTTTTTTTAAATACTTTTTTTATTTTACTAAATGATAGTATTCAGCATGTGAAATGAAAAATTTATGAGGTTATAAAATCATCATTACAGTGTGATAAACATTCCATATAAAAAAATCTTCTATACACATAATAAAGAATAAGCAATCAAATCTTTATATGCATATTGACATACATGTATTTTATTTGCTTCAGTATACATTTAATAATTCTACAAATTCAGTCAGGGGGAGCCGACTTTTTCCCTAAGCGGGGGACACGAATTCTCTGAATTAGCTTGTTCAAAATGCTACAGTAACTCCTCCTACAGTTTCAATCCAATTTCAATATAACTTGGCACACAAGTAGACTACACTAAGATACATAATTCTCTGCATCGGTTTTTGCTTTCGATGAACGGTGTTGCCATGGTTACTAAATTAGAAATTTCTGTGAAATTCTTTCAAAATGCAACTCTTCCTACAGTTTTGGTCCGATTTTAATATACGAGGGTTGTCCCAAAATTCCGTAGACAAGCGTTGTTTTATAGGAACCCTACGTCATACATTAATGAAACTTCGTATATAGATTAAATAAACACCATCTAATAGATTTATGGACAAATATGGAGTAACTACACAAATTATTCTAATTTAAAAGACACATTTCATTTTCTGGTGTAGGAAGGCGGCGCAATACCCAAAAGTTGCAATGAAAATTTGGCATATTATATTTAAAATCCTACGGAAAAGTATTTACTACCCCATATTGTTTTAATGGAAATGAAAATTCTCATAACTATTTTATTAACTATATTTCCTCAAATTTTGGTGTTTATGCTTTGATAAATATGAATTTTATAACGTTTTATATACATGGGGTTGAAGTCCGAATTTTAGAAAAATGGCGGCTGCGTTGGCCCAGGCGGCGCACTGGACTATGATCAAGTGTTTTGATCCTGAATTCATTCTTACAGAAATGTACCAGTCATAAATGTTTGGTAGACTAGGAAACTTTTTCACTTCCTTAGTTTTTAAAATGAATAAAACGGTTTCTCTATGTATATGTGAATAACAGTAACTAAAATAAAAGACAGGGCTAAGAAATGGGCAAGAGTTCAATTGTGCATATCCATAAGAGAAAACAGACGAAAAGCCCGTAGAAATATAGCGTTTTCAAATTATTACTATTTCATACCTGTACATGCATATTATTTGTTTACATATTTTAATGTTTCATCATATCATAGTAATTAAGATATTTTACATTTATAACTATAACCGTTTCTTTTAATTTGATTCTGGTAATTGAAATATTTTCTCCAAAAATTTGAACTATTGACATTTGTATTTTTTGACGTTGCAGATTGCTCCGGGTGTTAGAGAACTATATCACTTTAAATGTTATGAATCGAAGAGTTTTCAAGTTAACATGATAAAACTTCGTAATTTATCTGCCAAGAGCATGCTTCATCCACCCTAAAAAAATTATTAAGATACATTAATTTCTTTAAAAGATATGAGCTCAGTCTACGAAATTTTGGGACAACCCTCTTAACTTGGCACACAGGTAGACTATACTAAGATACATAATTCTATGCATCGGTTATTACTTTCATAAGTGGCAAGGATCATTTTTCTATTTATTGCTGTTTTAAAGTCTCTAGTCCCAACTGCTACTTTTCTCTTCCTTTGTTTCAAGTATAAACCAGTAGAGCTACAGTCTCGACAGAGACTTCCGGTTTTCTAATGTGCACAAATGGACATCTACAATATATTTCTAGTATTTTATTGCTCTTGCGCTTCCTCAAGAATTCTTCCCTACCAGAACTTTTACGCAATTACATCACCAGTGTTACTCTGACGTTAATTTAAGCTTTTAGGTATAGTAATTGAGGAATAGTTCGTGATAATTTGAACTCATCAACCACATTTATTACTATTTCAGCTACTTTGTGACAGAGAAAGCGTGTCCTATAACTTGTTTCATCAATTTAATGATTGTATCTTCCTTTTAATTTTCAGGCTCTTCAAAACCAACTCTCATCTAAAATACGTATTTACTAAATTTACACAACTTGAAACAGAAGACGACATGAGACAGAATGAGGCCTTAGAACAACATGCAACTTTCGTAATGACTACAGTTGATGAAGCTATTTCAAATATAGACAATTACAATTACGTCACAGACCACCTCCACCGTACCGGGGCCACACATCAAAGATTCGTAGACTTCAGTTCAGAAAACTTCGCGGTAAGTGTAAAAGAAATGAGTCTCTTTAAAAATTTCATTTCTCCATTTTTTCTATTTGCACAACATGAATAAAGGACTGCTATTTCCTCAAATTATAAAAAAGGAAAAGACACATGGGCCTTAGCTTAACAGTCATCTGAATATAATGGGCTTTTCAATTGATGTCAATTTTGAGCAAACCTTGACTTGCATCATATAAGAAGTCTCGTTTAAAGTCTTCGCTCGCGTGGCGTAGTGTTTAGCGTCTGCCCTTAAGTCGTAAAGTAAGGAGTCTATTCTTACGCCGCGGGTTCGAATTTCGCTGTTGGACGTTACGACCGGTCCTTCGGACGCGAATGTATAAACGGAGGTCCCATGTCGCTGTAGGTGCTGGCACGAAAAAGATCCCTCCCTGCTCACAGGCCCCGTTTGCATTGTTTAGGGCAAAATTTGTAGTTCTCCATCGGCAAGAGATGGCGTCTCCATATGAGTTAAAAATTCTCGAGAGGGACATTAATCAACATACAATTAATCGTTTAAAGTCATCATTTCGTAATTTGTATGATCGATACAATGACCTTGTCAGCAAACACATGAACAAGTAATCATTATATTAGATAAAATGCTTACTGGTGTTTTTCATACTTGTTGCACACGGCGGATGTGACCGATGGGCAGGGAATGTTCACTCCTCTATGGCACCTGATCCCACCTCTGATGTTTTTGAGGTCCGTATTTGCTCTGCTCCTAATTTGTATTGTTGTATGGACTTTTGAGCTTGAATATTGTTCGTTTTCTTCACATGTTTCAATTAAGCAGTTTGTCTTTTGATTAATTATATTATAGAATGAAATTTCACTTTGGAACTAACAAAAGGTTTGAATCATACCGATTTAACTAATAAAGGGCATAGCAGAATCTGACTCATATTTCTCATATATGGACGTTTACTACAGAAAGACTGCTGGCAATTTTTATTTTATGATAAATGTGAAGATTTCAACTTTATCGTCAACTCGACCAATTTAGTAGCAATACACCATTATCACATTTACATAAGATATACAAGAGCACGTTTTACTTGATCAATTTCTAAAATGATGCAGGGTGCCTGAAATATAAGTTGATTTTATATTGGTATCAAGAATATTTTTTAAAGTCAACATTTCGCAAATTCTAAAATCAATACAATGAACTTGTCTGCCAATACAGTCTCTTTTTAGGTCGTGTTGATTAACATTTTTCATACAAGTTGATATAATACTTAATTTTTTATGGATTCTCCATATACCAAATCAAGACAAGGAGCGCATGCTTCTTGTCAACGGAGGATGCTTTTTTATGACACCAGATTGCTCTTGCAGTGTTTAGATACGGCCTTGCCTGCCCAGTTCACATTTTTACTGTTTTATGGGTTCGTATAAATACGAAAATTGTTCGTTCTTTTCACATTACATCAAGAAAGGATTTTATCAAAGCAGTATCTTTTCCCCATCTGTCTATTCCACGTACGTCTACAGTTCTGAATAAAATGTGTGGGGGTTTGGTGTAAGGGAATGCTCTAAAGATTAAAAACATAGCATGTATGCCACCCTTAAAAAATTACCTACCACCTTCATATATATTTAGCAGATAGATAAATTGTATGGTTATAATACGAAAGGGTTCCTCTTTTTAAATTGTGAAATTCATGGCCGTTGGATAAGGGGTAATGTTATAGAGGGACTGAAATGATGGTCAAACATTTTTAATTTATGTTATGTAAATCTGTCTCGGCTTTCTTGTAAGAAGGATACATATGGAGAAAACGAACAGTATTCAAGACGGAAAGTCCATAAAACATTACAAAATGGGAGCAGAGCACACCTAGACCTCCAAAACAGGTGGGATCAGGTACCATAGAGCAGTGAGCATCCCCTGTCGACCGGTCAGACCAACCGTGCGCTCCTTGTCATGATCGGGAAATAACGGGAAAATCCGTCGTCAATTCAGTGTATAAATCTGCTTTCGTGTTAACAGAGAAATGAATTGACGGTTTTGATGAGCCAGGAAGGGAAATTTGTAGGTCAGAGGTTCCGGTTTATGGCGGTACTCGATTGATCATATTGTGAAGATGGATTATTTGTCTCTTATTCCAGCTAAATTGCAGAAAACCGAGGGCTAAGTTATTTTTCAAAGATTCATGATTATTTACAAAGAAATGAAACGTGATACTGAAAAATCAAACCTGGGGGCTAGATTTATATACTAGGAGACAAATGCATACACTGTTAAGGAAGACCTTATTTTACTTTAGCGGCTGATTTCTGATTACTTCTACTCGCGTCTTTATTCGGGTCAGTGTCTCAAAATAACAAGGATCGCAAAATAAGGGATTCATTAGAGATTTTAGTATACTCGAAGGAATGAAGTTCCTTATTAGTTGCACGTTGGGAATATAATTCTTTAAATCGGATTGAGATCATGTGAAATTGGAAAATCCTATTAACGAATCAATACTGTGTCTTCACAAGACGGCGGTTTAATGTTCAGTTAGATTTTTTGTTGAAGCAGAATTGCCGCAGTTTTGTTCTTAATGTACCAGTTATATTTGTAGATTGTTTCTCAAAATCACAGGAGATTTAACAGTAGAGGGGAGAAAAAAATCGGACTTTCTACATTACTATGCACTTACTTGCTAATATTTTTTTTATAATGGCTAGAAATATTTGACTTTAATGATTAGAATGCTGCTGTCGCTTTCCGGTGATTCTGAACATACTTTGAAGTCTGGTTCCAATTAATTATCAAAATGACACAGAGATATAAAACCATTCGGAATACGCTCAAGTGATCAATGCCTTGTAACTTTAAATAAATAAAACAGAAAAAATGCATTTAGCCAAAGTTGTTCGGATATTGATAAGGACAACATTCTATTAAACTCGACAACTTTCTATAGCATGGAAAAGAACACTAACTAAAAGTTCATGTATCGACTTTGGCGGTTGAATTTTATACCCAGTAAATGAGAGGGTCGGGACAGAAATGTATTAGCCTACGCACTAAGAATTAAGTAAGAGGGTACATGTGAAGTACATGCATATCCTGGAATTGCATATCTATATTCGTCTTCAAGTGTGACCAGTTCTTTAATTGTAAAATCTTTGCATAACGATGTGTTAGTATAATTAATTTAGTATCGTAAGTATATGCCGACGTAATTAGAAATATGCGTCGCAAACCTACGTGTACGAGGTATCAATAAATCAATAGTAATGCTAGTAAAATAGTAACTTTAGTATAAACAGAATTTGCTCAAAGACCATATCACGTTTTGATCACAAATGGCAATAATTTTAATACAGTTTCCTTGTAGTAATATACAATGCCCTTATTTTCTAAAAGCTTCTTTCTGCGTGGCGCAATGGTTAGAGCGTCTGCTTTAGAGTCGCAAAGTAAGGAGTTGATCCTTTATACATCGCGGGTTCGAATCCCACTGTGGGACGTGGAGACCGGTCCTTTGGATGATCCGTGTTAACCGAGGTTCCGTGTCGCAGTAGGTGCTGGCACGAATAAATCCCTCCCCTGCTCAATGGCCTCGAGTGCCTAGTAGAGAAAAACTTTGAAGTTCTCTGAAGGCAAGTGATGGCGTCTCAATATGAGTGAAAAATTCTCGAGAGGGACATTAAACAATATACAATCAATCTAAAAACTTCTTAATGAGACCCAGGCCTCTAACTTGGAAAATGATTTCAATTACTCTATAAAAGATTTTCCTAAAAGCAATCGGTGAATTTACGCTCAGATAAAACCGAGTTTTATGCTTGTGAAACCGAAGTGAAGCAATTAAACCCCTAAATAACCCATATACAACATTAGTCACTACAGCTATTTGTTACGTAATTGTTTGGAAAAAAAGATGTTTCAGTCGTTAATTTTAGATCACATGAGCCACATGTTCTCATGAGCTATTCTGATAGAAATTCAACTGTTGTCTGTCGTTGTCGTATATTAAACTTTTAACATTTTCATCTTTTTCTCTTGAACATTGGGCCAATAATATATCAGACCTAGTACCTTGGGTTAAGAGAAATCCTGGGAAGATAGTTTTAAAATACTGAAAATTTGATGAAGAAATTTTATACTCTTTTAAAGAACCAGAGTCAGAAAAGATGGAACCTAAGTGAAACTTCTTGACATACCGGTGTAGCGTAGATTCACGCATATTCAAAACATGACTCCTAGGGGTAGGTTGGAGTCATTATGAGCGATTTAAGTTTTACATAAGAGAACATGGGAAAAATCTTCAAAATTTTTTTTTTCAAGAAATGCAAAGTAGATTAATCATAATTATATAGTAGCATCCCGAGGTAGTGTAGTTTGTTCTAATACCACTTCTGATGTTTTAGAGGGTTCTTTACAGAATGTCGTAAGTGATAAATTGGGTTATACTGCCCCTCCCCTCCATTAATTAATAAATGAATAAAAGTAAGCTAAGTATAGCAATCAGGAATGCATTCCGTCACAAGAGAAGTTGGATCGATCGCAGAGAGATTATTTCCGGGGCTTTATTGGGATTTACAAAGTCAATGTCACCGTCCATCTTCTGTGCTCGCATAGTCATTGCTCAAGTCAATTTCAGGTTACTCCTTTTCATTTTCGATAATACAAGAAATGGAAAGAGACAAAATTCCATTAATAAATCCAGTGAAGGACTTTGGTCCACGTTGAGGAGATTAGACTTTATGGGAATCGATGCCGAGCCATATAATGACCGGGTCATTGTATTCTAAAACCATATTAAGTACGTCTGTTATACTGAAACATATTTTTTAGAGAACCAACAAGCAGGAGGTAACAAAACTGTCAAATTTAAGCGTACCAAGAATTATAAAGGAGTACTGATTGAAGAATAATGAGAATAGCCGCCAGGTTTTTGGTCAAAATTACAATATACAAACATTTTAATCCTTAGTTAAAGTAACATACGTATGAAAGAGATTTCAGAAAATTATTCATCATGAAAAAAAATATTTTTGGGTGAAGACTTGATACTGACAATACATTTTTTTTTTTTTTTTTGCTTTTCAGAATTATGTTTACTAGCATATCAATAACTGGGGACTTCTAAAAAATGCTATTAAATAAATGAACTTAAATTACAAACTCGGCTTTCTAAAGCTTCCAATTACAATTCTTTGGTAACCCTGAACAAAAGTAATGTTTTATCTATTATAATAATTATAATGCCAAACTATAAATTATGGAAATTTTACGCACAATTATACACACGTGCTCATATTCATTTATACATTATTGATGGTAGAGCCCATACCGCACTTTGTTATGCGATGTGATAATCAACACTGTTCATAAATATAATTAAACCTAATAAATATCATAATGTTAAAAGTAATGTAGTGTGTAATTAAAATTATGAACATCATAATAACAGTAAAAAGTGTTTTAATCATTCATTATTTTCTACATCTCTACATAATACATGTAGTAAACAAATATGCGAGTGTTCCAATTATCTTATAATAATTATTTTTTATCATTTTCAGAAAATCAAAGAACCGTTTCTGGAGGCTGTGAAAATAACGTTGGGAGATCGGTATACAGATTATATGGCAAATGTCTACACTAAAACAATCGACTTCATTCTTGTTACACTACGCAGTGGATATCTCGACAAGAATCAGTGTTACGAACTACAATCCTCAAAATCACCCACAAAGACCGAAGCAGATCAAGCCAATGGGGTTTCTTCTGATCAAAGCTTACCGAAAATTGAAATAAGTTCAAAACCTGAAGAAAAATGACAAGCAAACGAGCAGTATTTATATTAACGATTTTTTGAATTTTAACAAGGAAAATTTTTACTCTTCCACTTTCCAATTGACTAATTTTGATCAAACTGCAATGTAAATAAAGTGACATAGTAAGTATGTATAATGGGATTTGTTTTAAAAATTCATTCCTAGATCGAAGTCCTGATATGAAGCAGTAGGTTGTTTCAATGTAAATATTGAATAAAATATATCTTGTGCTAAGACACAAAATTTTTCTTCTCGTCTTCTAGTCAAAACAAAATGCTTTTACCGTGGAAAATGGGAGTTTCTCACATTATTTACTTTACTGGAATCAACAATTCTTTCCAATTCTTTTTCAAATGGAAGGATACATGGGTTTAATAAAAGGTCTGTATGTTATTGATAGGTACATATCTTTTTATTTTTTTTTTACCGTGCACTCTACGTAATAAATGAATATTTTTCAAAAACATCGTCTACATAGCAAAATATTCCGAAAATATGATGCGGAGATTGTCAGTTTTTAGGACTGCGTTAGTATTAAAAGGTATAAAGATAACGAACGGTGATCGATCGCAATATTTTTTTATAAATGAACAAAACAAATCATAAAACACGGAATCCTGGAAATTCCGGAGATGGGATCAGTTGCCAAGGAGGAATATGCATCCCCTATTGACTGGTCACGCCCTCTATGAGCCCTACGTATGGATATGGCAGAAGGGACATTCTGCAGTCATATTCAGTATAAACAAGATGGTTTGTGAAATACTGATGGCTTAACGAAGGTTAAGCTTTCTCAAATGCATCTTCTATTCATACACGGTCAGTATGTTCTTTTGCCTTCAGCTTTCGCAAAAGCGAAGGGACATTACATGACATTCGACGGGCTGTCAGTCGCAGAAACTTTTACTTCAAATGGTGTTTGGTTACGTGTGAATAAGAAGATATGACTTGCAGGTTTTATCGTATGAATAATTCATGTCTTCTGGATGCCATATTAAAAAAAACTGAAGCTCCTTGTCACGGAAGGCGTTGGTATGATAAAGATTCATTAACATTATCCCATGGCCCCTTTATGTCGCGTAAAGGGCTAAAGGCCTTTCACCATAATTCTTTTATATCTCTATATTAAAACTTCAAGATCATGAGGTCAAAGTCACAGTACTTTTCGAAAGGTCAGGTCATATGCAGTGAACATAATGAATGTGAATGCAGTATCTTTTCTAAGCTTCTAATCGAGCTAAGGTCACATGTTCTAAAAGCATAGTGCATGTAGGAAAAGTTTTATAACCTTGACGAGAATTTTTTCACTCATATTTATAAGAGATCCACGAATTTCCTGGAAGATGAAAAAGTTTAAAAGAGAAAGGACAGCCAGAGACACAGTTACTTAGCTGACCTAATCAAATCATTAGACATCATATGGTAAGGCATACAATGAACACAATTGAAATCAATTAACTACATCTTGTATGCATTGTGAAAGCTTGGTCCAGATTGATTTAGGGGTTTCCGAGGAGTCAATTACACTGTACTAACATGCGTATTTATCTATAATGATACGAGTTCTTTTTATATTCGTCGCTCGAGTGGCGTTGAGGTCCGAGCGTATGCTGTAGAGTAGCGGAGTAAGATGTTGATCCTAATGTCATGGTCCGAATCCCACTGCGGTACGTGTCGCTCGGTCGAGACCGTTTAAATGAGGCTCGGTGTCGCAGTATGTGCTGACACGATAAAGATCCCGCAATGCTTTAACAGCCCAACGAGCTGAGTACAGATCTTGATTAGCAGCTCATTTCAGGCAAGTGGTCAAGTCTCAACATGAATGAATAATGCTTGAAGGAACGTTAAACGAACATGTAGTCATGTTAGACCGATTTGTTTAAATATTCATCCTTACATCTGTATTTATATTAGGAATGACAAAACATAGAAGGCATCTTTTTTTTCTGTATCAATATATTGCAAAGTCATCTTTTTCTGCACGAAAGTATACGTGAGTGTGTTTGTACTACTTAATTTCAACTTGAAGTGTCAAACAAGAGGCCCACGGGCCTTATAGGTCACCTAAGTATCATGTAACAACTTTCCAAAATTGAATTGGTTCGTATTTTAAATCAAAGGCCATGAAATTCAAACTTTGAAAGAGGCACTGTTGTTTTCATGACTATACACTTAGCTTGCTTACTTTGGTTACTTAATACCAAAGGTAAATAAGAGTAACAAAGAGAAAATGCATTTCGATCCAGTTGTGCACCCCACCCCAAAGGAACCACTGAACCTAGGGGCACATATTTCAAAAATCTGGAATTTATCATAAATTTTATATCATCATAAATGGTTGATTAATTAATACCAAAAAAGCTGATATCAAAGCATTGATTTATATTCAGACTATGTAACCCCCACCCCAAGTACCCTGACCCATGGGCCCTGAAATTAACCATTTTGGAAAAGGCACCTTTCATCATCATTAATATGTACTTAGAACATTGGCATATTACCCAGGCGCTAAGGAAAATGTTTTATTGCTCAGGAGCAGAGAAGAAGATGTTTGAATGTTTAAAGAATCGCAATTTTGGAAGAGATGTTCTTGCTCATCATAATTATGTACTTTGTTAGTTTCTTTAATACCAAGGAGCGGAGAAGATTTTCAAAGAATTCATGCATTTTCACTATATAATTAATAGAGCCCCACCCTAACACCAGAACCCCTGACCTCAGGGCCATGAAATTCACAATTTTGGAAGAGGCAGCTTTCTTCAACATAACTATGTATACGATTTGTTTATTAAATACCCAGCAGCAAAGAAGATTTTTCAAAGAAATAATGCATATTCACTATTTAATCTATATAGCCACGCCCTAGCACCTAAGAACCCCTGACCCTGGGGCCATGAAATTCACGATTTGGAAGAGGCAGCCTTATTCAACATAACTATGTACTGATTTAGTTTATTCCATGCCCAGGAGCAGAGAAGAAGATTTTCAAAGAAATAATGCATTTTCGCTCAATAATCTATTTAGCCCCACCTAGGTCTAGAACCCCTGACCCCAGGGCCATGAATTTCACAATTTTGGTAAAAGACTCAATGCTGATTACAATCATGCAAACAATTTGACTGCTTGATGTCCAGGAGTAAAGAAAATTTTTAAAGATTGCATTAATTTAAGTGGTTTTGGCCCCACCCCTCAGGCCCCAGGGGGGCAGGGACCATGAAATTCGTATATTTTGTTCCCCTTCACCCAAAAATGCTGTATACCAAATTTGGTTGAAATTGATTGAGTGGTTCCAGAGAAGAAGCTATAAATGTTCAAAAGTTTACGACCGACGGACGACGTTCGACGACGGACGAAAAGAGACAGCAATAGTTCATCTGAGTTTACGCTGGTGACCTAATAAGCAATTGATTACCGGGAATAAATTAGATTCGACCCGAATTAACTACTAAGCAAGAAATACTTTATACATTGTCAAGTAAACTGGGTTTATATCTCTTTGGAATTGCGAACTTTCTCGTGGGAAATTCAGTTTCCTGCAAATAATCTAATATAACACTCTTCTTGATAAATAAAACACGAACTTGAGAGTGCAACCATAGCCAAACCCCAAATCTGTAGTTTTATGAAATATGAAGACTGTTCATTTCTTGTCTGGTTTGGTTTACAAAATGATGGATCTCTCAACAAGCTCTCATTACGCAGAGGTTTCCGTTCTAATTCAATTAATTGTTTAGGATACAAGAAGAAGAATTTATTTTACAAATATTGACGTTAAAGAAACAGATGATGAATAACCACTTCGTTGTTCCTTTAACGCGAAGCTCGGAATATACATGCATCATCTAAATGGGCAGAGTGTCCCGCAATCGCTAACAAGATAGAAATCCTATCAGCCTGGAATAAAAATTGAATCTGTGGACGTATATTGATGTAAATATTAGATGAATTTATTATTCATATCCCGCATTGTTTCTGAAACCAAATGCATCTGATAGACGACCATTCATTTGACACAGCCATCATCCATCAATACATATTGTGCGAGAATTATGCATAACGCAAGTTAAGTATTCCCATAAATTGATTATTTAGTACATGAACTTCGTCTTCGTATAAATTCGTTATGAAATGGCGAAATTAATGCAGGTCTTTTGTCATGTTGCATTGAATCTGTAGTCGCTATAATGGATATCAAAGTGTTAACTCTTCCGGTACGCTGAAGTTTTCTGTTTGTTCTAAATTTACAAGAGACTCTAGCAGGGTGCATTGTTCTGCTGAATCTGGATAAGCCTATATGGACTCAAAATGTCTTTGAAGTATATAAACCCATTTTAAAGGATTTTTTTTCCTCTGAAAGCTGTTCTTCATTCCTTTCAACCAAAGCCGTATGGAAATTTAGTTTAATTTTTTGTCCGAGTCTGAAAAAACTTTCATGATATTAATTCCTTAGACGTCGCGCACAGTATTGGGGCTGATTTTGTACCGTCAAAATATATATTTCTGACGTTGTTGCGTATGACGTCTAAGCGTAAAAACGTTAAAAATTAAAGGCGTAACAAATTAGACTAGACATCCAATTTTTGCTCTCGTTTTCTTAAAAATGTTTAACTTTTAACTATTTCTTTTAATATGAAATTTTATTCATATGCACATTTTAAAAATAAGATTTTATTTGTAATAAGTTTTTCCATAAAAAAAGAATATAGCTCAATTTAATGATTTACGTCCCGTGATATACCAAAATACGCATATTAGTGCCGTAGTAACAAACCGACTAGACATCAAAATCACTCTATCAATCTCTCGTCTTACTTGCTTATAATTTTTAAAAGAAATAATTGACTACTTCTTGATTTGCACATTTCATTTATACTTTAGTTTTACCAAAAGAACCTGTTATATAGTAAAAAAAAAATTACCAAACATTCCATCTTTTCTTGTTACTTGTCAAGATTACGGCATGTTACGGAATGCTTCCAATTTTACGAACAGTCGGAATTGGCCAGTTTTGGAAATTTATTAATGAATTTTGTGAGACATCATCACTGGACGTTATAGATGCTTCAAGCAAATTAGCAGAAAAATCCATCCAGCCAAAACAATAAAATGACCAAAAATACTAACGCCCGTCGTTTACAGTGTTGCAAGTTAGGCAATTTAGAACCCCAATACTATGCGCGACGTATAAACGCTCGCGGGATATTGAGATGAAGTTACAAATGTACATGTAAATGGTCATAGTATTATT